CTTTTTATGACTAAAACATTCCATTGTGTAGATATAGCACATTTTATCCATCCACTTGTCATTTGATAAGGAAGAGCTGTTTGTTTAAAGATGGCTTTTTGTTTTCCTTTCCAAATCCCAATCAGAAAGGGCAGCCCTAGAGCTGGGTGCAGTGGTGAGTGAGTACCTGTAGTCCTAGCTACTTAGGAGTTTGAGCCAGAAAGATCCCTTGAGCCCAGGAGTTCAACTCCAGCCTGGGCAACATAGTGAAATCCCATCTCTAAAAAGGAAAGAAAGAAAAGACATCCCTAAAGATACCCAGACAGTGCACTGTCAGGACACCTTGATCTTTCTGATCTGATTTTGGGGCACATTCCAGAAAATCCTCCGGGTTGACTCTTGGGCTGATCTGAGAGCTGATACAGGGAAAAGTTTCAAGTAAAGATTTCTGGCACCCAAAGATTGTCATTGTCAAGGGCATGAAAGAGTAGGAACATTGCCATAGTGTGAACGCCCCCCAGATTCCTGTTGAAACTTCATAGCCAACACAATAAGGTTAGGAGGCATGGCCCTTGGGAAGTGATTAGGTCAGATTAGAATCTGCCCTCCTGAATGGGGTTAGAGGTCCTTTTGGACCTTCTACCACATGAGAATACAAAAATCAGCTCTCACGAGATGCTGAATTGTCTGGCACCTTGAGCTTGGACTCCCTGGCCCCAGAACTATAAGAAACAAATTTCTGTTCTTTATACCTTACTCAGTGAAAGGTATTTTGTTACAGCAGCAGAACAAGACTAAGACAAAGGTCAAGTGTTGCCCTTTGGGGCTCAAGGGTCTTGGCTCCACCATACCCCACTCCCAACTAAAGCCACGTAGAGCAGCACACAGTCTGAGTAAAAACAGTGTGTCATCTGCCATGCCACCTCAGCTCTGGAGCATGACCCCTGCCCTGGAGCCTCTGCTTTTTGTGGGTCGGAGCCACGGAGATAAAAAGGTGGACTCCACTTTGATGCAATAATTGATAAAATTTATTACACCTGCAGACAGGCTGGATCACCACAGGGGCATTCCAGCCCCAATTGGCAGGCGAAGTGCCTTTTTATACCATTATTTTGCAAGGGTCAGCAAGCTAGCACAATACGGAAGCCAATCATAGCAGTTAGAGCGGGTTCGCAAGGTGAGGGCACATATTGATTTATACATCACAAGATACACATTACTTCATCATCATAAGATGGGGTGCACCATAAGGGGTTACACAATTTGGGGTGTGGGTACATGCTAACTTTAGATACATTAACTCACAAATCATCAAATGAGGGGTATTTGGTAAATTTCCGAGAGCAGCTTGGGCCTTAAACCAACTTCAGCCCTTTTCACCCAGGGCTCACCCCTGCCTCCCTTCCTTCCCTTATCTTCTTGGGCTTCTTCCCAGACCTTAACTTCTCCTCCCTTGGGGGGTGGGGGGGGTGGGGGAGCAGCTGAGGCTAAAAGGCTTAGGAGAAGTTCTTTTTACAAATATATGGGCTTTGTTGCATTTCTTACTGGTCCTGGGGATTAGGGGTTGGGGGCTCGGTTATTACATGCTAAATTGACTTCTCTGAGACCTTGGGAGGATTCCTGCCGCTCCCAGGATCTCACCTGCAGTCACTGTCTTTTGGAGCCTGATGGCCAAGACCCCTAAGAAGGGGATGGCTGGATAGGAGGGGCAGCAATAAATATGTCAAGATGCACTCACACAGAGCCTGCTCAGTCACCAGCCAGTCGGGAGTCTATAGACTGCGCCCTATCCCAGGTGCCCTGTGACATGTTCAGGTGGAGCTGGTTTTAACAGCAGATTTCCATTTAATCTTCTTTGAGCATATTAGGCCCTCAGGAGACCTCCCAGGAAGTTTCTCTACTCTGGCTTCTGCCCTCCACACAGCCTGTGTGTGGCCCTTCCTCCTCCAGGAGGAGGGCACCAGGGGCTGGCCCACCCCCACCTTCTGTGGCATACTAGAAATAACCACGATGAATGATAGGAGGGGGCTGAATGACAAAAACCTCAGGGAGGCGGTTCTTCTTGTTCCTGCTGTATCCCCACACAGAGGTGGGCACACTCAGTGGTGTTATTCTGACCCCCACATACCTCCACTTCCTTAATCCCGGAGAAATTATGAGAGGAGAAGTCCTCAGCCTGTGCTAAAAATCCCGGCAGGAGGACGTCAGAAGCGTCTAAGAAAGCACTATCTAGGATAGAACAAGTGGCAATTAAGAAATTTTTGTGGTCCTTTTGGGTGGCAGACCTCTTTCCACAAGTGGAAGTATTATCCTGCTAAACCCCTGAATCTGGCACTGGGGATATCTGGGGAACGTTGCCCAGCTGCCTCCAGGAGGTGGTCCCTTTTTTTCCTCTCAGCTCTTCCCTGCTATCCCCATGTTGGCCAGTAGATGGTACCAGACACCGCCATTTGTGGATGAAAGGTTTGGGGCGAGAGGGGATAAAGGCTGTCATCGATGTGCCCCTATCTTGAAGGTGTGCCCATTTTACCTGACCTTAATTTAATCTCCTAGAATTCATTTTCTTACAGGAAAATTATTCTCATAAGTAGATTCTTTTTATATGTATGAATAACATATTCCTAAATATAAAGAATATTCTCGAATGTATTTTTCCTACCTCCCCAGCCTCCACTCTCTCTGCCCAGCTGCCTTCAGCAACAGCAGCAGAAAGCTGAGGCAGAGGCAGCCTTTACATTCCTCAAAATTCTGGCATTAAAAGAATGATCTCAGACTGAAAGGGCATTATGCTACATTTCTGATCAAAGAATAAGAGAATTCTCAGGAATGTGAGACAAAAAACACATCTGAGAGATTACAAAGGTAATAAAAACGAATGACAATAAATTAGTTACTGACTCTTAATCTTTCCAGCTGGTAAAATATACAGTTTCAAAATGCACATCAGTATTTGCATAATGAAAGGAAAACTGTTTCAGTTTGTTTGTTTGTTTGTTTGTTTAATGAGAATGGATCCAATTAAACTAAATTGCAGCAGCTGGCAGGTCAGTGGCCACCATTGGGCATCGTAATGCCTGGAGCCACCTTCACCTGCTCTCTGTTGCTCTGAAGAACAGTTCATTGATTGCCTTATCCAGGCTGGCTCTGCTTGCAAGGAGGGGCACACTTTAGGAAGGGCCACACAAAAGGTCAAGGGCAGGCAGCAATGGGTGGTACCTTGAGATCCAAATGACAAGGTTGGTCAAATTGGAATCCTGGATATAGAAGAGAACTTTATATCCAGGACCTGAGCCTAAAATAAGGAGAAAAAGAGACTCATGGACTGCAAGAAGGCCCCAAGTCAGCAGAGCAATGACGTTCATAAAAAGAGACAAAAAGAAAGAAAGATAGGGTGGGGAGGGTTGCTGGCCTGGCCTGAACAGACTGGAGTTAAGATGTCCTGAGCACCCTGAGCAGAGAGGGGCCGGCACAATGAATGGGGAGCAGATGCACAGCAAGCCCTCCGGGAGGGTAGCACCCCAAGTCTCAGAAACTACAGTCCTCCTGGAGCTTCTGAGAAATACAGTGAGACAGGATGTAGTCTCACCCTTTCTTAGACTAAGAATTAAGGAAGAAAAGAGGCAGTGGGATCAGGAACCTGCATTTCGGGGAGCTTCCAGCCCCTGAGTCCAAGCACAGAGCTCAGGGCCTTGCCAGCTCCATCACTAACAGGGATTGCCTCACTCTAGGCATGTGGTCTCCCAGTGGGGTCAAATATTTGATACAAAGCAAATGGGACCAAATTTCAGGAATATGTGTTGCAACCAGACCCTGCTAAGCAGTCTTAGCAACTGAGTCTCCCCACCCCACACCAGCTCACAGCCTCTGGCTGCATCCAGCCCTTCAGAGCAGCAGAGCAGCACCCTCCCTGCCTAGGGCCCAATGGCCTTGTGCTCCTTGTTAAAAGAGACCTTGAAATCCACTTTCTCCAAAAAGAAATGCCCTGGTGAGGGTTAGGAGGACACCAGGTGCATTCCTCCCCCACCTGGACACAGCCTGGGCCTTGCCCTCCTCCCCGTGCAGGCAGGCCCTGGCTGAAAGCCACAGCAGGACAGCACATGACACACCTCTACTGTTTGTGCTTTTATTCTGAAGCCAGCAGGTTGGTACACAGTTGCCTTCTTGGTCTGAAATCTACACTCCTTTCAGTCCCTGTACTACTCCCTCCCACCTCTTTTTGCTCCCTCCACAGCCTGGCAGAAGACTGACCATCTCAAGGTCACTAAGCTGCTCTCAGGGCTGGTCCTTGGAAAGGGGCTCTCTTGGCATCTCCCCAGTTGCTCTCTAACATGTCACTATCACATTACATGTTAACAGGGAGGCAGGGGGAGGGGCGCGAGTGTCACCGACAGATGGTAGAGTGATAGGAGGGGCCTTAGAGGAATTGCAATTCTGGCCCAGTGGGCTAGGCGAAGGTCACAGGTTACAGGCCACAGACTGACTGAGAACAGAGCCTTCAGAAGCTGACTAACCTCCCTGGCTCCCCCCACCTGCCTTGAGATGACTGTCCACTAGCATGTAGGAAGAGCTCTCCTTGGGCCTTCAGGCTATAATTAAGGAATTAATCAAAGGAAGGTGAACAAACCTTAGGTTGGTCCTTTGACTCTAAGCAATGCATCCAATGAATGTCTAATTCCCAGAGAAAGGTGAGTGCAGGGACAGGGGCAGAGGGCAGGGAGGAAATCAGGTCACCCAGGGAGAGGAGAGGATGTCCTTTCTGCCATTTACAACCAGTCGGGAAGCCTGAGCATGGAAGAGAACCAGGCAAGGTACCACCCAGGACCACAGCCCCACGCTGTGACGCCCTCAGGTGGTGGAGGTGTGTGTGCACGTTCCAAGCAGGAGGGAACAGAGTAGGGAGTATAGCGGCTGCAGGAGTTGGGGAAAACCAGGGCTCATTGCACAAACAAAACTCCAGAAGACACTCCTCAAGGCTGTGCTCAGGAAGAGGCCGGGTGGGTATCCTGAGACCGGGATCGCTCCTAAAAGTTGATGTTCTTCAAGTTTGCGGAGCAGTAGTACTTGCCGTCCAGGAACCTGGAGCACACCAGATTGGGCAGGCAGGGACAGATATGGTATTGACGTTTCCCAAAGAAGGGGACCTGGGGAGAGAAGTGAGGGACACCTTCACCAAAGAGAGTGGGCCTCCTGGCAAGGGCCTGGGTCAGCCCAGCCCTGGCAACTGTCTCACCTCCACACCCTCCCACACACACACACACTGAGCACAACAATAATAGAATTAGAGATATGGACACTGAAGCCCATGGTAGCTAAACAATGTGCCAAGGTCACAGCTAATTTGTGGAGGAGTCAGAGTTTGGGGTGATTTTCTTTTTTTTTCTGAGTCAGAGTCTCACTCTGTCCCCCGTGTAGAGTGTTATGTTGTCATCCTAGCTCACAGCAATCTCAAACTCTTCAGCTTGAACAATCCTACTTCTCTATTTTTAGTGCAGACAGGGTCTCGCTCCTGCTCAGGTTGGTCTCCAACTCCTGAGCTCATGCCATCTACCCACCTCACCCTTTCAGAGTGCTAGGATTACAGGTGTGAGCCATGGCACATGGCCTACCCAGAACACATGCGCCTGCACACACACCTAGCACATGTGTACTTGCACACACACATACACCCTGGACACATGCACTTGTCCACAGACCCAGCACATGTGCACCTGTACACGCACACACACCCTGCACATGTGCACCTGTACACACACTCAGCACACATGCACCTGTACACACACAGACCCGGCACACGTGCACTTGCACACACACACACACCCTGCACATGTACACCTGTACACACACACCCAGCACACATGCACCTGTACACACACACACCCAGCACACATACATCTGTATACACACACCCAGCACACATACATCTGTACACACACACCCAGCACACGTGCACCTGTACACACACACACCCAGCACACGTGCACCTGTATGCACACACACACACACACAGAGCACACGTGCACCTGTACACACACACACCCAGCACACGTGCACCTGTACACACACACAGAGCACATGTGCACCTGTATGCACACACACACACAGCACGCATGCACCTGTACACACGCACACCCAGCACACGTGCACCTGTACACACACACACACCACACGTGCACCTGTACACACACACACCACACGTGCACCTGTACACACATACACACACAGAGCACATGTGCATCTGTATACACACACACACCCTGCATGTGTGTACCTATACACACCCAACCCAGCACATGTGAGCCTGTGCACCCACACTCTGCACTTGTGCACTTGCACACACACACAGTACATGTGCCCCTGCGCACACACCCACCCTGCACATGTACACGTGCACACACACCCAATACACAGGTACCTATACACACGTGCACGAACCCCGCACACATGTGCCTGCACGTGCACACACACACAGTGATCAGATATGCTCAGCACTGTGGTGGGTCCCAGCCCCAGAAGTGAACAGGGTGGCCGCCATCTCTGCCCTCTGACTCTCACCCCTGAGGAGTGCTGAACCACTGGGCTGTCTTCGAGGGAATTTGAATGGGAGCATAGGTCCAGTGTTAGATTGCCTGGGTTCAAATCCTAGGCAGTGCCCCTTCCCGGTGTGTGACAATCAGCAAATTATTTAGCTTCTCTGTGCCTCAGGTTTATTAATATCTATAAAATAGGTTAATAATAACACCTACCACCTATGGTTGTAAAGAAGTTAAAATTGTATTTACAAAAAGCACTTACTATGAAGAGTGGCGTCTAAGAAGCACTCAGCACTGGTTTTTATTTTCACTGCTGTCCCCACTGAGTCTGCAGCTGAACCCCTCACACACCACAGGCTGAGGACTGCAGTGCCGTCCGGCTTCCTTCATCACCCACTAGCTTCCTCACCCCCTCAGAGGGTGCTCTGAGCCCAGGGGAACACTGAGAGTGTAGGTGCAGGCAAGTTCCCAAAGAGCAGGAAAGCCCTGCCCCTCCAAAGCCCTGTGGACACGATTACATCCTCTGTGCTAGGAGCTGGCAGTCAGGGACAGGAGCAGGGCAGGAGCTCCATGTCCTGGGTGCCTCACTTGCCTCATTCTAGTGCTGACCTAGTACAGGAGGCCATCTTGAAGGTCTTACTTAATGTTCTAGAAGATTGCCAATAGAGCAACGGGCATTTGTCAGATCCATAAGAGACTTCAGGGGTAATCATCCCACTCCCTTCCCTCAGGGGATACATGAGGTACAGACCCATCAAGCTAACTCGCCTAAGACCATGCAGCAAGTGAGGGGCTGGGGACAGCTGGCCCCCCATCTAGCAGTCTAGCAAGGGGGCAGTGCCCAACATCAGTGAGATATGACTACAGTTGCCGTAAGAAAGCTGCACTTCCAGTCCTAGCTCTGCCTCATGGGGTGTGTCTTGAGCAAATCACCTGGCTTTGCTCTGCCTGGGTTTCCTCACCACTGCCCAGGGCTGCTGTGAGGCTGGAGTCAGACCTGTGGTTCTCCACCCTGTACTAGATAGCTGCAGGCGGATCACGTCTGACCCTGGATGAATAAATGTCAAATGTGTTACCTGCAGGGCACTAGGTAAGGCTGATGGGGGACGGAGGGAAGAGCAGCAGCTCCTCGGCTGCCTGCTTCCCCCAGTCAGGCAAGCGAGGTCAGCATTTGGAGTGTGGCCACCCTCTACCACATTGTCCTCTGGAGCCAGCACAAGGCTCTGGGACCTCCCCTGGCTCCCCTGCACACATGCACCTGTGCGGGGTCTGGGTGGTACCTTATAGCTGCCAGGGTGGCACCGCTCTCCTTCCTGTCCCAGTGGGGTGCACAACCGCACCCCTTTCACCCACAGACTGATGGCACAGCAAGTGCCTGCCTCACATTGGACATCCTGTTCACAAGCCTGCAGGGGACAGAGAAAAAGGAACAGCCAGTTAGCACTACCCGAGAGAAGCCAGAAGGGAAAAGTATACCCAAAAAGCCCTCCTTAGGATCAGGGAACAAGATGCTGAGAGCAATCCCCGTGGCCTCAAGCTAACAGGACCCCATGGGCCCCAGCCTTATCACCCTGTTTCCCTCATGGACAGGGAGCTCAGAGCACAGTGGGCATCCAACCTGGATCTGTGAAGCCATCCAAGCTCCTCTGAGGCCACTTGGGAGACAGTCCTTTTCTGACAAGTCTGAGGGTTAGAAGACATAGCATTTCTAGGACTAGGAGATGCTTAATGGATGCTGGTAGAAATTAATTAATTAGAATTCTGGGACAAGAAGAGCCCCTGGTGGTCCCAAGCCCTGGGTGGTCAGTGCTAAGTGGCCTTGGGCTGTCTGGATGCCCCCCAGCACACTACACCCCAACAGCCCTCAGAGGCCCAGCCTCATTGAAGGTGCCAGCACCACAGGGACAGGTGCCTCTCCCCAGGGCTTCTCTCTTGACCTCCCTGACCCCTAGAGTGGATGAACCATCTGGGCTGGGCTCTCAGAACAGGGGCTGAGAGGCCCTGCGTGGTTTCCAGAAGGTGCCATTTGTAACAAAGCCAGGATCAGGGATGGAGAAGCATCCAGGCTTTCCCCTTCCAGGGAAGCTTTGTGGCTTTTCCGAGCTGGAAGTTGAGCCTGGATTTTGGTTCTCTTTTCTCTGACGGAAGCCCAGGGAACATCTTCAGGCTGCCCATGTGGGGTGTGTCAGGAAACTTCCAACCTGCTCAGCCCTGAGAGGAAAAGAGGGGCTGCTGGGTCTGTCTATCACCCAGAGGAGGAGCAGGTTGCAGTCACCAAGAAGTGCCAGTCTACAGCCCGACAGGGGCACGTCTCACCCCAGCCAGCCCCTAGAAAGCTCAAGGTTAGGGGGAAGCAGACTCCACTTGACTCTTCTTATGCTATGGTAGTGGGCATTTTTAACCCACTCTGGGAGAAGAGACCCTACAATCCTGACTCTGGGGACGGTCTCAGTCCAGGAAGCAGAGAAGTAGAGAGATGGTAGAAGCCTGCTACTGAGGGTCAGATGTGGGACACCAATGGGACCTCAAGAGCAGTGGGGGATGAGAGCACATGCAGTGAGAACAAGATGGAGTCAGTCAGGCTAGAGCTGAGATGACACAGACAGTCTGGCCCGTTCAGGTCCCACATGCCTTCACCTCCTGCCTTCCATCCTTGTTGTTTTGTAAATTCATCTTTAACCTAAAAGTGTGTATCTTAAGTCGTCTAATGGAACTGATTTAGGAGATTAACTTTTGAATTGAAATGTTATATGGGTCATGGGTTATGGCGATTACTGATGTTCAAGAGAAGTATTAATTACTATTGTTTGAGATAAGGGTTAGTACAGTTCTTGGTTTTAACTTTTGTGTATAAAACTGTGATTTTGGAAATGGAAGAACAGAACAGAACAGTCTTGGAGAGGCTATTCTCCCTGTTCTACAGAATTGCTGGCCTTCTGACAAAGTTTGGTGGACCTAACCCCATCTCTGCATTTTGGCCCACAGTGACAGGCAGCTGGATCCTGTTTGTCCGGAAACAGCATGAAGGATGGAGGGAGCCTGGAGGTTTCTGGCTTCCCCTCAGTGCTCTGTTCTGACTGCCGGTCTGGTTCATGTGTTTCCTGTTACCTGAGGAAAGGTGATCTCTTTGATTTTCCCACTGCTCTCAGGCAGGCAGGGTGGGCCAGCTGTTGGGAGGCAACCTGGGCATCCAGGCCAACCACACTGCTCCCGGCCCTCACTGGGGTACCCGCAGCTCCCCTCCCTTGTTCTTACCGTCCCAGATCTTCAGCCTCCAGTGAGCTGCGTTCACTAGGTACAATTCTGCCTATCCAATTTTATTTGTGCTTTGAGTCTCAAAAGCACTGATTTGCCTTTAATATTTCTTCTTTAGAACTCAATCTTTTTCGTTTAAAAGGGAAAAGAAGCTGGGCGTGGTGACTTATGCCTGTAATCTCAGCTACACAGGAGGCTGGGGCAAGAAGATTGCTTGAGCCGAGATGTTCAAGACCGGCCTGGGCAACATAGCGATGGGAAAGGGAAGGGAAGGAGAGAAGTTTTTTTTTTTCTTTTCCTTTCTGTGAGCAGTAAAACTAATACCATTCCAGAGACTGTTTATCATTTCTCTACATTTCCATTTTCTGTGCAAAAGCTGAAGGAGGTTGAAATAAAAGATAAGTTCTCCTTTTTTGTTTCCTAGTGGCTTTTATATGCAAAGGTCTCATGTTAAAAAAAAAATACTCTCTGTTTTAATAAGAACGGTCCTGCCACCGTATCTCGGAAAACCATGATCCAGTGTTTTGAACACTAAAATGTACAGTACCTGTGTGCTGAACCTCTGCTATAAGACTGGACTTCTACTTATTATCTGGACTGTTGCTTTGGGGTACACTCAGTCATATTCTGGTGTCGCCATATTCCCCTCAGAACTAATGGGGCACAAAGTGAACGAATCCTTTCATAAGAGTGGAGAAAACAGAGATTAGGCTTATGGAACAGAAAGTAATAAGCTTACCGCCTTTAACTAAGCTTCCTGCCTTTAATTAAGTCAACATGCTATGTAAGTTGAAATTGACATATGAAGCAGACCATACATGAAAGCCAAAATTTGCACAAAAGATAAATTAGGGTACACCAGTCCACTTTATAAAGGAATTCCTTATCACATGACAGGAACCTTCATTTTACCAAAAGACTGAACTTCAAAATCTTCTATGTTCTCCTAATGCATTTAAAACAAGACTTGATTTACACACAGTTTCTCAAAAGCAGTCTGTTTAGTAGAGTGAGAGCTAACTAATCTGGAAATCACATGCGATCCTGCAATCTCTCTCTGAAGTGGTCTCCAGTGGCTAATTCCCCGTTCCCTTTGGTTTTGATGTGTTGAGCCAAGAGAGTCATCTGCATGTTCCTGGGTTCACCTCCCCTGCAGACCCTGACATCTTCCCCAAACCCAGGGTATAGAGAATGTTAGACAACTTACCCCTGTGATCACAGCACAGTCAGACACAGTTACCAGGAGGAGCATGATCGAGACCTGCACGGCACCTCTCATGGTCACCTGGGCGAAGGCAAAGCGCTGCACAGTCCAATGCCTCTGAGTCCTCCTGCTCGGCCCTGCGCCTGGCAAGCTAGAGGCCAGGCTCTCCTGCAACCCCACCTCCTCCCAGATGTCTACAGTCAGGATCCAGGACTGCCCGAGGATGCCTAGTCTCTGCTCTTCCCTTTCCCAGCACCAATGTTATTTAGATGATCTCAGAGGCAAAGATGAGACCTGCATCCCTAACAACATCAAATCACCATCAAAACCAATAAAAATGGATACTTCAGGGGGCTTTGACAGTTGCTCTAACTCTCCCAAGCACACAGTGATTCAGACCATTATGTACGTTTCACTCGATGTTCTTTTCTGCCTCTGGGCAGCCTTTAGATCCTGCTTGGGGTGGGAGGAGGGGGGAGACTTTGGTAATGAATTAAGAGATTTGCAATATCACCATTTATTCTTCCCTGCACCAAACCATACAATGTACAAGGACCTCACACTCAAGCCAACAAGAGTTACCCGAGGATTTACCATGGGCTCCACACAGAGATAGCAGAGAAGACACAAGGGGAGAAAGTGGCATTCCTGGTGCTCTAAAAGATTAAAAGTCCAATGAGGAAACAAGAAACAGTGAGGAAGAAAAGACAAGGCTGGTGGAGTTGAGTTCCCCAGGTGGCACCAGGGACCTTAACCTTTCTAAGGAATGCTGGAACACTCCTTTGCCTGAGGCCACTCAGGAGTTTGAGAACAGCCTGAGCAAGAGCAAGACCCCATCTCTACTAAAAATAGAAAAAATGAACTGGGGGTTGTGGTGGGCACCTGTAGTCCCAGCTACTCGGGAGGCTGAGGCAGGAGGATTGCTTGAGTCCAGGAGTCTGAGGTTGCTGTGAGCTAGGCTGAGGCCATGGCATTGTATCTTGGGCAACAGAGTGAGATGCTGGCTCAAAAAATAAAATACAAAAACATGGGTAACAATAGCTGAGAACATTTTATTTTTCTTGAATGCTAGTGCTAGAGGAAAAAGCCAGATCAATTAGAGGAGGCTGAGGGATAAACAGACACTTGGTGGAGACCCCAGCCGTGACTCAGGGGAGCTTCAGGGATAAGCAGCACGGATTCTGTATTCAATAACTAATTTAGGGTGCTCCTATTCCTGTGAACAGGTGGATGTCAATAGTACCCGGTGCATTTTAGCCACAGTTAAGGCTACTTTTTGGCTAACAGATGTCGTGTGGAAAAGGACAGTGGGGAGAAGAAGAACACCCCGAAAGAAGCAAGCAGGAACTGGAGGAGACGGAGGAGGGAAGTCAGAGGTGAGGTGAACTGAGAAATGAGGGGTGAAAACCGGGGGAGAGGGTGAAAGTGCCAAAAATGTACTGGGTTCCCTGGAGGGAGGAAAAAGCTAGCAGAGAAAATGTAGGGGACAAACCTCTCCCAGACTCCTACACACCTGCAGAGAGAACAACGCAGGTGGGCAGGCGGGCAGGTGGGTGGTGGGCAACATGTTGGTGTCTGTGTAAAAGGGTCACTTGCAGGTCAGACGTTGTAACTCAGGCCTGGCCCCTATTTCTCTGCTTTAATCACCATTTTCCAGGACTGTTTATACAGATACGTGTAGCAAGGGCCACCCTCCCAGCCCACCTTGAAAGGCCCTTCAGAATGAAAGGACGCCTTCTCGTGGAGGTCTAACCCAGATCATCCCTGACTTGGCACAGTCCTATGAGGTCATTTACCTCCATCCAAGGAAAAAATGTGACCCCGGTGTGGAATCAGGTTCTGAGGTCCCTTCTAGCTCTACCTTGGGGTTATGGCCATTGTTCTGTGAAGTAGAAAGGGAGTCCATGTCCAGGGGACTTCACTGCTCCTGCCTACGTGGACTGTGTTAATATTTGAGCACATGTTTTAAAATATGCTCACTTTGTTATTGATTCCTTGCTAATGATTAAATGAGACTTGACTCTGACTCATCTCAAAGAGATGAAGAAAGAACTAGAACAAAGGAAACCCAAGCATCCAGACCAGTTCTTAACCTGCAGTCACAGCCCTCCAGAGAGTTCATGAAAAGAAGTCAGAGAATCCATGAACTTGGGTAGGGAGATAAATTATACCCTCATTTTCACTAATTTCTAACTGAATTTCAAACATTTCTTTTAACTGTAGATTACAAAGTATAAATGTATTAATAGTACCTGTGGCTTTGTCACTAGGAGAAATTACAGGTGTTTTAATATCACAGTACTGGGCTCGGCGCCTGTGGCTCAGGCAGCTAAGGCGCCAGCCACATACACCTAAGGTGGCGGGTTCGAATCCCCAGCCGAGCCCCACCAAACAGCAATGATGGCTGCAACCAAGAGGTGACCGGGCGTTGTGGCGGGCGCCTGTGGTCCCAGCTACTTGGGAGGCTGAGGCAGGAGACTCGCTTGAGCCCAGGAGTTGGAGGTTGCTGTGAGCGTGATGCCACGGCACTCTACCCAGGGGGATAGCTTGAGGCTCTGTCTCAAAAAAAAGAAAAAATCACAGTACTGCCAGGCACACCTGTAACCCTAACATTCTGGGAGGCCAAGGTGGGTAGATTGCATGAGCTCACAAGTTTGAGACCCCCCCTGAGCCACAGTGAGATCTCATCTGTAAAAATAGCCGGGCGTTGTGGCAGGTGCCGATAGTCCCAGCTACTTGGGAGGCTGAGGCAAGAGAATCGCTTGAGCCCAAGAGTTTAGGTTGCTATGAGCTGTGACACCACAGCACTCTACCAAGGGTGACAAAGTAATATCTCAAAAAATAATTATTATTATTATTATATCATATTACTATTGCTGGAAAAAAGATCAAAGTAGCATTTCTGCTTATTACTACGGTGAAATCATGGTAGTTATGGACCCACTGCTATATTACATTACTTGATGCACTAATAAAGAAGCACAGGTATCACAAAAATTTGTTTTTAATATATATTTTATAACTGCATTTCCTTTGTACCTACATATTCTTTGTAACTTTGCATAGTTTAATTTATGCATTTAAGAACATTATTCTTAGAAGGAATCATAGGTTTCAAAGGGATTCACAGGACAAAAATAGCTAAGAACTCCTGAGGTAGACCATGGAGATGTAAAGAAAAGATTTGATTTTGCATAGCACAGGATCATGAATTCAGGCTAGCAGAAAGAAAGGACCTTAAACTGGGCAAATCTGAAATTGTCCCCCAGAAAAGCAAAGAAGTAGCAGCAGCAAACTAGAACAAAAAGAAGGGTGCAGTGTCGGGGTCCAGACGGAATGACAGGAACGCACAGAGCAGGGCAGTGGCTGAGTCGGCACATGCTGCTGTAACATAACACCTTAGATTGTCCTAGCAATCTTGGGAGGCCAAGGCAGGAGGATTGCTTGAATTTAAAACCAGCCTGAGCAAGAGAAAGACCCCATCTCTACTAAAGATAAAAAAAAAAAAAATTAGCTGGAAGGCGTGCGCCTGTAGTCCCAACTACTTGGGAGGGTGAGGCAAAAGAATTGCTTGAGCCCGTGAGTTTGAGGTTGCTATGAGCTATGACGCCAGGACACTCTACCCAGGCCCACAGCTTGAGACTCTGTCTCAGAAACAAAAGTAGGCAGGCATTGTGGTGGGAGCCTGTAGTCCCAGCTACTCAGGAAGCTGAGGCAGGAGGCTCACTTGAGCCCAGGAGTTTGAGGTTGCCTTGAGCTAGGCTGATACCACGGCACTCTAGCCTGGTGACAGAGTGAGACTCTGTCTCAAAAAGAGAAAAAAATAAGCCCTTAGACTGGGTAATTTAGAAACGAGAGAAATGTATTGCTCTGGAGGCTGGAAGTCCACCCTCAAGGAGTCTGATTCAATGTCATGCTTCATGGACGGGCCTGGTAGCTGTGGCCTCCTCCAGTGAGGGGGAAAGGGTGCTCCCTCCACCTCTTTTATAAGAACACTGATCCCATTTCCAAGGGCTGCCCTTCATCATCTCATCACCTCACCAAAGGCCCCACCTCTTAACACTACCACACTGGGGGTTAGGTTTCAACATACAAACTCTGGGGGGACACTCACGAAGGCTATGACCGCACCGAGGGATCACAGGGAAAATCCTCTCCTAATCTAGGTCCAGGCAGATTCCATCCTGTATCTCTGCGTTTCCCTAACCCATACATGACTTACACCCCCATACGCCCTCCTCTCCAGAACTTTTTGGATTTTATTATTTTTTATTTATTTATTTATTTGAGACAGGGTCTCACTCTGTCATCCAGGCTAGAGTACTATGACATCATAGCTCACAGCAACCTCAAACTCCCAGATTTTAGTAATCGTCTTGCCTCAGCCTTCAGAGTAGCTGGGACTACAGGCATCTACCACAATGCCTGCCTGGCTGGTTCTTCTATTTTTAGCAGAGATGGAGTCTCAGGGTCTCCCTATGCTCAGGCTGATCCACCTGCCTGGGCCTTCCAGAGTGCTAGGATTTAAAGGTGTGAGCCACTGGACCAGGCCAACTCTTTGGATTTTAAAACACCAAGAACTGGGCTCCCAGTAGGCCTTGAAACTTGAGTGCTCATCCAAGTTACTTTGATCCCAACTATCCTATTGGGTTTCAAATAATTGCAGGCCATTTTACACTACAATCAGAAGACGCAATTAAAGAGAAGACACCATTATAATAAAGTCAGAGAATATCAAACACCTAAGGGTAGGCACCCTGCCACCCTGGCACCTTCCTAGCCATGCCAGGTGGCCAGGCTGACCCTCAGGTGGCAGCAGCTCCTCAGCCTGGGACCACAGCAGGCTCCTCTCCCGTCACCCACCCCTGCCCCCATCTTCCCTCACAGTAAGCTTCTAGAAGGAGAACTCTGCATTTTCTTTCCTCCCATTCTCTCCCTAGCCTACTCCAGTCTCGCCCCCATTCCCATCACACCAATGGCACTGCTTGCTCTTGTCACCCTTGTCCTACATGCCATACACAGGGCGTCCTCTCCCGTCCTCCTCTCACTTGCCCCTTTGCGCCTTTTGGCACAGG